GCCTCTGCTTCTGAAATAGGTAACCTCTTGCTCCTTCAGTTGCTGCAGTGCCAGCAGAAATTTGTGCAGCCAAAAGTGGTGGACAGTGCAGGGTTCTGACCCATTGCCTTTCAAAAGCTATCCAGGATGGTTCAGTGGCTCTTCCTAATTTTCCATCTCCCTCATGGACTGAAAAGTTCCATGTAGTACAGTGTCCAGATATTGTACCAACCTGGCTTGGTATCTCTATGCTTCCAAAAAAAAATGTAGCATATGTTCTTATGCTTCATAACACATGCAAATCCACCTAATGTGAGCATGTGTGGAAGGTTCCCACCAACCCCCCCCCAAAAAAAACTGCTTGTATGAAATGGGCATTATTATTATTATTATTATTATTATTATTATTATTATCATCATCATCTTATAAGTTCTACTCTTTTCCATGGTTTGGAGCTAAAACATAAAGTAAGGGGTCACCTGTCTTGTTTGCCTTGTTCTACTAAAATTAATATTCACAAATGCCTTGCCTTTATTTTAAATCTGAAATCAATCTTATAACAGTGGGTATATTTTACTAAATCATTCCCCTCGTTTAAAATTACACCAATTTCTCATCCTCCAGCCAGTCCTCACCTGTTCCTCAAAGAGATCATTGTATGTAGCTGCATGCAATAGACGGACGGTGTGAAGAAATATCTGTGGATTGTGGCATTAGAAGAGAAATAGTACATGATAGTCCTGTCAACAACAACAACATTTATATATCACCCTTCACCTGAGAATTGCAGGGTGGTTTACAATACAAAAATACATAACATAGTAACAAACAAAGCCAATATCCCCCATATAATGCCAGAGAACAGAGAAGCAACTTTGTTTTGAACTCCCCTTCTGCTAAATGACATTGGGGTCATGGTTTGGCTAGTCACACACTAATGTGGGCATGTGGAGATTTGAACTTGAGTTTGGATAAACTGAGATTTATTTATCCCTATATGGGATTTATCTATTATCTATCTATTTATCTATTATTAGATGGTACGCACAATCCTGCATCCCCTCCACAGAAAATTTAATAATGCCTGAAGATGTCCAAATCAGAAGGGAACACCTCAAGACCTATAACAGGAAAAGTCCACACAACACTGTTTAAAAACAAAAATAACACAAAATTAAATACCAGTGAAGTGGTGCTCCCACTTCCTAAGCATATGCTTAAGCTGTGTGTGATGGGCCTTTGGGCTAGGCCTACACTTCAGCATGCTTGGCGAGATCCATTGTTTGACAGTGACAGTGCTGAAGGCCAAGGATGCATTACTCAATTCATCTTGGTGGACTGAAGCTCCTCAGCCTTAACCCTGAATTCCATGCATAGTTCAATTACCATGTGAATTGGTATTCTCCTGGTGATGCATATTTCAAGCAGTTGTGGGAAGCAAAGGCATTAAATCGTTTTGAAAACTGAAGAGCATGTAAAACACATGTCTCCAGGTCACCTTTATATCTGTGGTCAATAGAATATCTGTATCCCATGGCAACAAGTATTGCACGTTCATCGCATTGTTATCAGGAATGTCAAAGGCTACATTACAGTGACTTTTTATTCAAGCAATATTTTTTCACATCCACTCCCGTGGCCTAAAAATATGTATGCAGCAAGCTTATTTCTTCAGAGCAGAAACAGCCTTTAAGATAGATATTCAAATCATTCAAATATGCATTCCTTCTCTCCAGTCAAATAAATTAGCATTTCCCACACAGAGCCTGCCTGTCTCCTTGGCATTATACCCCTTTCATATATTCATGATGGATAGTAAACCTCTGTAAAATATTAATGCCCAAACTGGATCAGAATTCTGAACCTTAAAAGGGTGATCATGTCAATAGGTGCCTCTTGATGGCACATCTGAATCACATTAGGCATTTCTTCCTTTGTTTCTGATTCAACTTCCCAAGATTCAATAAAGTAGCAGCTCCAGATTTGTGAACGATGGGAGCTTTCAGTCTGCACAATATTGACCTAGACTGGCCATAGCTGCTGACATTACCTACACAAGTCAAGTTTTCAGAAAGTGAGGAAAATCCCACACTGCTCTGCTCTCACCAAGTTCATTTTCATAGTCTGAAAGTATTCACTTATTTAATTGGACTACAGTGGTACCTCGGGTTAAGTACTTAATTCGTTCTGGAGGTCTGTACTTAACCTGAAACTGTTCTTAACCTGAAGCACCACTTTAGCTAATAGGGCCCCCCGCTGCCACCACGCCACCGGAGCACGATTTCTGTTCTCATCCTGAAGCAAAGTTCTTAACCTGAAGCACTATTTCTGGGTTAGCGGAGTCTGTAACCTGAAGCATATGTAACCCGAGGTACCACTGTATATGTACCCCACCTTAAAACCTAGGATCTAGGGGTAGGTCACAATAAAATCAATAAAATGAGTCTCACTTTACATCCTCAAAATGCAGTAATTGTTGCTAATATCATATAATGGGGGGGGGGGCTAATGCCCTAAAGCCTTGAAAAACTACCAGGTTTTCATCTGGTGTCTGTAAGCTGGTTGTGCAGGTGCCAAGCCAGAAAAGAGGTGGGGTGCCAACCCAGGAAAGTCCTGACCAAGCATATACTTCCCAGCAACTGGAAGCTAAGGAGGGCCTCCCTGGAAGATCTAGCCTCACAAAAAAGAACATGCATTTTTTGTGGTAACTGAAAGAGTTCAACCACTGAGCCCAAATGAACTTCCAAAGTTTGAAAATCATACCCCTCTCCGGGTTTTTAATCTTCTGTGTAAAATTTAGCTGTGTTCAGTGCCCAAAGAAACTTGCCAGCAGGACATTTCTCAGATTGGGAATGGAGGTCTGGGCATATCAGCCTCTAGTCCCCATTGAAATATGCCCTACCAGCAAAGGCATGTTGCCTGTTGCAAGGGCTACTTTCTTGTGCCACACATGCTTGTTGTCCATGCTCTGCCTAGAAACGTGAGTCCCTGGAAGTGAGCCACCTGAGAATATGATGGCAGGGAAAGAGGGCTTAAAGCCCCCACAAAGCCAGACTGAGACAAGCCAAAACAACCAAGAAGCAGGTCAACAATTGATTCATCATTAAAGCCATGATTAAAAAGACGCCTGTGATGAAGAACAAAGACCTCTGGTGTCAACAAGGAAAAGGATGTTCTGTGAGGTGGCCCCTACATTATGGAACAGTCTTTCCAATAGGGATTCAGTGGGTATCTTCATTGACGTGCTTATGCCAGTAGTCAAAGACATAGGTAATAAATACATCAAAATCTTCCCCTGTTTTTTTTCTATTCAACACTACTCATAATTGATTTTCACTTGGTTAAAAAAAACCAGCAAATCCACTAAAGGTTTTAAAAAATATTGCTCTCCTATAGTTTCTGGTCACTACAATAAAAAAGTTTTGCTGTAGAAAATAGACTAATAATTCAGTCTTTTCAAATACAGCTTTAAGCTCTGATCAACTTTATGGGGCCATTGTCTCACCTATCTCTTTAGAGTCAAGGAGAGTGATTTTGTTTACCACCTAACCAAGTTCACAGCATTTAACTACAGTGGAAGCTTAGATGTTGTTCAAGGATATTTCATCATAACATTTTAATTGACTTCAAGACAAAGTTGTAAGTTTTACTTTTATATCTCATCCTTGGAGTATAAAGGTACCATCTGTTCATGTGTGATAAAAGCAAAGCAGTATAGTTGGTCATTGTGCTGTCAAAATGATAAGAATTACAGTAATACATATCAATAATAAAACTATGATTATTTGTATCACTGCTACTGTTTTCATGATGTTTTATTCTGAAGAGTGCTAAATAGATTTTCAGCTGCAATCCTATGTGCACTTAAACGGCAATAAAACCCACTGAAAATGGGACTTGCTTTTGAGTAAATATCTGTGGGATTGCACTGGTTAGAAAAATAAGCATCCAGCAATGATGATGGATTAGGAATCTTCTAATTACGAATTAACATGAAATTTTCAAATTAAATTATTTTATTCTTTCAATATCCATAGCATCCCCTGGGTTGCATATAAAAAAATGGCATGACCTCTCTTTGTGTTCCATACAGATTTGTCAGGTTTACAATAAAGCAAAAGCACTGTATGGTTTGAATATTTTCTTGCCATTTGTCATTCCATAACATTACGAACAAAGACTACTTTGGAATAAGTTCCATAAACTTATTTGCTGGTTCAGTATTTACTGTTTGTGGATGTTAAGCATTAATGTCTAGGTGGCTTGTCTGTTCTTCATGACAGTATCCTGGGATTTCTCGATATCAAGAAGAATTCTGAGAATGAAAAATAGTGCTACATTTGGATAGCTAGGAAACATTGCAGGTGTTTTTCATTTCACCCATCTGCTAAACTAAGTCTCTGAATCTAGGTAAACAAATTGTTAATTAGGCTGTCCATGTGCGAAAAGCTTTTTCTTTTTTAACATCCTCTTGAGGATGAATTGTGGGTGGGAGGAGATGGAGCTTCCATCTGACAAGATTAATGGAATTTGTCAGCTAAGGAGTCAGAAAATTATTTGTTCTCTTATGGGTGGCTTCTTCACAAAGAGGTGACTCAGACATGCACTCTTCTCATAGGTCTGCAACAACTTGGAATGGGTCTGTGTGGACCACCCATTTCAAAACTGTGCCTGTACATTGAAAACTTGTGTGTCAGAGGGAAAGTTTGACAGTTAAATTTCTGTTTGTTGTACAGCTGGTAAATTTTTTTAATTTTGTTGTGAGCTGCATAGCAAATTGAAGTTTAGAGGTGAGATATGAACATTTCATATAAACAACACGGAAGTGTAGCCAACATGGCTTCACAACACTTGAAAAATATATCCCTGTCTAATAGTCTGCCCTTTACAATCATCCAAAATATGACTAGGAAAGAAAACAGTAGATTTCAATACTGAGACACTTAGAATTATAGAACTGTAGAGCTGAAAGGGACCATGAGGACCATCTAGGCCAACCCCTTACAGCGCAGGAATCTTTCACCCAACATGGGGCTTGAACCCACAAGCTTGAGATCAAGAGTTTCAGGCTCTATCAATTGAGCTATCCCTCATGGACTCCATTTGCTGTTTCCTATTTCACATTGTTGTATGACTACTGCCTGCTTGGCTATTTGCAACCTTTTTTAACCTCCCATATTCTCTCAGAATTGGCAATGCTGACTGGAGCTGATAGAAGCTGTAGTCCAAAACATCTGGAGGGCACCAGGTTAGGGAATTCTGGGCTACAATAATTAAGGATAAAAATAACTATACTTTGTTTTGGTTGGGTCACATAAAGGTCAGGTCTAGCATCAGTTTATAGCCTTGCAAACACATCCCAGAAGTGCAAAATTTCAAAATCCAATGAAGTTTTTCAAGGGGAGGTACAATCCTTCAGATTTGCATTTTAGTAGCCCTGTTACTCTCAGGGAATATAAAATAAAGACCAAGATAGCGGACACTTTTAGTGGAAACAGAAAGCAGCCCACACTGTACTGTGAAATGAAGAGAATGCCAAACCTCACTGGTTAGTTTACAGCATGGGTAGGCAAACTAAGGCCCGGGGGCCGGATCTGGCCCAATTGCCTTCTAAATACAGCCTGCGGACAGTCCAGGAATCAGCGTGTTTTTACATGAGTAGAATGTGCCCTTTTATTTAAAATGCATCTCTGGGTTATTTGTGGGGCCTGCCTGGTGTTTTTACATGAGTAGAATATGTGCTTTTATTTAATATGCATCTCTGGGTTATTTGTGGGGCATGGGAATTCGTTCAGCCCCCCCCCCCAAAATATAGCCCAGCTCCCCACAAGGTCTGAGGGACAGTGGACTGGCCCCCTGCTGAAACAGTTTGCTGACCCCTGGTTTAGAGTTATTGGGTTGGTTCTAACAGTGTTTGTGCATGAATGGGTTAGTGTTCTGTTCACGCAGTGTGGCTTCCCCCATCTTCTCATCCCCACTGCAGTTCCTTATGCTCCCCCCACAAATCTTCTCAGGAAGATTGGGAGACCCTCTGAAGCAAAGAAGGAGAGGAAAGGGAAATCCTATTTCGTAAGCAGAAGTATGCTCACATAGTGTTGGATTTCCCCCATGGACATCTGTTGGGTAGTGACATAGAAATGTGTAGTTTGCAGAGCTGTAGCTAGGTGATCTTGCACCCCTGGCAGAACTATCCAGATTGCGCCCCCTAGCCATGGACAAATTAGCTCTTCTTTCTGCCTCTCCTCCAACCCCACCCCCCATTCAATTCACCCTATATTTAAAACCTTTTCTTATGAGGCAATAATCAATATTTTTATTTAAATACATATTTATGGACACATTTTTAGCCGATTTTGTGCCCCCCTGCCTGCGCCCCTGGTGGGGGCCCACCTCGCCACCCCCTAGCTATGACCCTGGTAGTTTGTAGCATGGGAATTATGTATTAAAGAATACAAACAGCCAACTTGCTGTTTGTATTCTTTAATACATAACATTGCTAGCTAACCTATAGGCAGGAATATACATCAAATAATCCAAAAGCACTGGGATTTTAATGGGAGGAATAAAAGAATGAATAATGTACTATAATTGCCTGAAAGACAGCATCTGCATACTTGTAGAAATGAAACATATGGTAATATAATGTGACATGTGTATGTTAAATATGGTGAGACACAAGCACACATTGTATCTAAATATCTGTAAATATTAAGAATGGTAATATAGCCGAAGGAAACACAAGGATGTACAAGAACCAGTTAAAAGAAATTGAAAGTATCTTACCATTGTATAAAACGGGAAACAGCCATGGTATGTTTAAATTGTAGCGCCAGAGGTAGGTTGAATTCAGCATGAAAGAGTTGAACGAGTCATCATCAAATACCATCTAAGTCAGTGGAACAATTATTTTGATGGTCCCAAGTTTCCACATAATTGGGCTATATGCTACCATGATATGAAGATTACCTTACAAGGTAATCATTGTGGACAAATATATCAGTTTGGGCACTAACAATTTGAAAAATCTGATCATTTCTCCTAACTTTATAGTGATATAAATAAGTGCATCATTTGAATACGAATAAAGTGTGGTTATAAAGTTCATTCTGAATATTCACTTTGTCCTAAAAAATGAATATAAAGCAGCAGTGTGGCACCATTATCAGTGGCAGCCTATGCTGAGGATAATGTAGCCACATATTTTGCACATTATAGACCCAATGAATAACCTATTGAAACTTTTGGGGTATTTGTGTAGAAAGAATCATTTTATTCCTATTGAAAACGACTTGTTCCTAACTTTTTTCATACTTTTGTATACTCCAAGCAAATGAGTTCCATTTAACATGATAGCATGAAGTCAGACAAAAAATTAAATGCTTTCTGAACCTTCTACATAATAGGCTATAAAAGCTCTGGTGATGTTTTAGGTGCTCCTACTGTTTTTAGAGGCTGCAGTGTTGTGGTGAATTTCATGTGCAAATTGACAACTAATTTAAGTGGGGGCTAAAATGGGAGAACAGAGATCAATAAAATCAGCATTTAAGAAGCTCTAAGTTGCCATTACAGCATTCTTAATTTTGTTTCCTGATTTCTTAGGTATGTGGAGGAGGAAAAAAGAAGACTTTTCAAGCCAACAAAAAACTATGAATTGGCAAACTGCATGCTCTGCTGCAAAATTATCAAGTAAGCCAAATAACTTTGTACATACTTTGCTTTCTATATAGAGAAACATTTAAGTCACGCACACCTGAACAGGTGACTCAGAATGAATATGTTATCTATAGATAAAAAAAATCAGTAAAGAAATTAGTTGGCTAAAGCTTTCACACAAGGGTTTTCAACAGCCTTTTCAGATATTCCAAAACTTGCAGCAAGCTTATTTTAACCCCCCACCTGTTTGGAATAACTTCCATAAGCTACCCCACCTGGGCTACCTCCAAGATACAACTTGCCAGGTCCTCACCTGGTTGAAGTTCCCAGAGTAGTATAACTGATGGTGGAATGGCAAGAGCACCTGTTCAGAGGCAATTTGAGCAGGCTCTGAAATGTATATGTAAACATCTGTAACGATTACATGAAATGAAAGGATGTCAAAAGCTTTTGTTTCCATTTTAGAAATTTGAGACATATTTTGAGGTGGCATATGAAAAGTCTGAGAAGATTAATGAGGACAGAAAGCCTGATTTAATGGTACTTTTGCAGTTCCTCATTGGCTGTGTGCCCGCAGTGTAACACATGATGTCTGGCACACACTCTGTCATTACTCCTATTGGTGGGAGTTGAAAAAATTGTTAATGTGTTTCACCAAGCTTCAGCGCTTAATCAATACTAATAAGAAGTAGAAGTAGAATCTATCTGACCAGTGACAACTTGGAAATGAGCACTGCCCTCAGAGGTGCACATTCTTTTCTTCATGAACCAAAATGAGCCTGTTGAATGAGGACAGTGGTCCATCTACTGCAGTGACATCACCATGCCAATAAAGGTCTGTATAGTTAAAGCTATGGTTTTCCCAGTAGTGACGTATGGAAGTGAGAGCTCGCCCATAAAGAAGGCTGATCGCCAAAGAATTGAAGCTTTTGAATTATGGTGCTGGAGGAGACTCTTGAGAGTCCCATGGACTACAAGAAGATCAAACGTATCCATTCTTAAGGAAATCAGCCCTGAGTGCTCACTGAAAGGACAGATCCTGAAGCTGAGGCTCCAATACTTTGGCCACATCATGACAAGACAAGACTCCCTGGAAAAGACCCTGATGTTGGGAAAGATTGAGGGTACAAGGAGAAGGGGACGACAGAGGACAAGATGGTTGGACAGTGTTCTCGAAGCTACCAGCATGAGTTTGACCAAACTGCGGGAGGCAGTGGAAGACAGGAGTGCCTGCCGTGCTCTGGTCCATGGGGTCACGAAGAGTCGGACACGACTAAACGACTAAACAACAACAACAACAACAACATTTTTCCAGGTGCCCTATACTATGTTTCAGGTTCACATATATCCCCCCTTGACTCCTTTATTCTCCTCCCTGTCCTTTTGGTTCTATGGTGAGTCTTCTCATATTTCCTGTCAGGAAGGGACATGACTTTGTAAGCTGTATTGAAATGTATATGGCTGTATCTTAAGGAAAAGCAGGACAACTTAAAGTAAATTCCATAGAAGCAGGAAGAGGAAACTGTGGATTGTTTGTTATCTACCTATTTACTCACAGTTGTATGCAGACTTGTCATTAATTCTTAAGTGAACTGAAAACTTCAGATGACTTTGTCTTTACCCAAAAGAGATCCTGAAAAGGAAAACATGCAGGATGGGTTTATGCAAAGAAGTGAGTCATATCTGCCCTGAGTAAGATTCTAAGCCTTTGATGATGACCATAAATATTTAACAGTACAGTAACAATGATCTCACCTTCTACATATTTCAATGTGCAAATAAGGTTAGCTTTGAATTTCTGAGCCTCTTTTTCTTTATAATTACTCCTAATAATGACATGTCTCGTAGTAATTGCACAAGAGCAACTTGTCTATACATTATTGCAGCCTCTCTGTTTCGGCAAATCGGGGCATTTTCACTAATACTGTAGAATTTGGCCCAGTAATTATTACTAGGATATCATTACTCTTAAAAAGTACAAGGTATACTTCTTTCAGTACTAAATTACCAATCACAATAAGTAATTTAGTACTGATCATGAGGGGAGAAACCTATTGTTCTCCTGTCCTCCTTGAGAGCTGCCCATAAGCATCTGGTTGGTTGCTGTGAAAACTGGATGCTGGACTAGATGGGCCTTTTATCTGATCCAGCCGAACTCTTCTTTTGTTCTCATGTAGATAATAATAATAATAATAATATTTTATTTATATCCCGCCGGGCTCAGAGCGGCTAACAACAGTAAAAGTAATACAGCATTCTAAAATCAATTCATTCTAAAATCAATTCAAAATCAAATTAATGGCAACCATTGGGCTAGAGTTCTGTGAAGATTACCAAAGGAGGGGGTCAGGCTGTGCCCTGGCCAAAGGCCTGGTGGAACAGCTCTGTCTTGCAGGCCCTGTGGAAAGACGTCAAGTCCCGCAGGGCCCTAGTCCCTTGTGACAG